GGACTGATGGTAAGCACCAGTACCGGTAGGATATAGAGACTGGTAGAAATCATAAAGGGAAGCACAATGGACCAATACAGGTCTCAGTGCATGGGGAAACCCACCCTCTCCAATAACTAACTAACTAACTAACTAACTTGCTCAGGTTATAATAAAATTTAGTGATGAACAATGCTTCAAAAAAGTGTTATGATATAAATTTCTTTAGACCTGTGGGCATAATAGTCTTTGACTTGATATAAAGTTCTACAAAAAGGCCACTTCATGACAAGACCTGATGTTTTTAAATTGCTGTCCTTATCTGAGGCACAAAGTAGTCTCAATTTAAATAGAACTCAATAACCTGTCCAATGAGGTATTATCACATACTACCAAGGACTCCTGAATAGGAACAGAAGTGGTAACCACTCAACTGTAACATTCAGTTCAGGTAAACTGAAAAAATAACAAAACAGTGAAAAATAGTTTTAAATTAACTACATAACTAAAGAACTACTGGATATTTGAATGCAATTACTAACTACAGGCAGTGACAAAATGTCTACATTCGTTCTTTGCCAAGCATCACAGAAAGATTTTAGGATGCTCATGACAGCATGATGCTGAAGTGGAACTTCTGTATGATTGACTTTCACTTTAAAAACATCCATGTAGGGTTAACAACTTTCACTATCTTCTCTTTTAGACTTGTCATATGGATGCATGTCAACAGATTTTGAAGGCCAGATGGCACTATCCACATTTCTAATGCCAAGCATTTCTTAAAATAAAATAATTATGCTCTGTAGTCCCATATTACTTGTATATCTGACAGATATTTCTACCCTACCTACACCTAAAGAACAGGCAGGTATTACTAATATATGGGATTTTAAGTTTTAACAGCAGGTAGTTATGAACAAGTTCTATCTTATGGGACATAATGTCATACAGTCTATTGAAAGTCAAGTGACGCATCTCAATCTTCAGGGTCGAAGAATAAGCCAAGCAAAAATCCAATATGAAAGCAGATGCCAAGTGAGCTCTGCTTTCATTCTGGTTTCTTGCTCAGCTTATTCTTTGACCCTGAGGATGGAGGTAACACGTTCCTCTGAAAAATCCGCTGATTTTCAACAGATTACATGGCATTATATTCCATAAGAGAGAACTGTTCATTACTAACATGCCTTCAAGAATTAACTACAATGTATCATACAGCCAAGAGTGATTCTCCTTTGATTGCTGCTTCACTCATGGTTCTAGTACATGAGGTTACAAAATGGAACACTTCAAAGCCATAACTTTACTGATGCAATGTATTTCTGCAAAACATACAGAAGCCACAACTCTTGCAGCACTAACAAATCGAAAGTCACTTCAAGTGGGGCAACAATACAAAAACACTTCTTACTTGCATTCAGTAGTAAAAAAAGCTACCCCTGTAACAGGCGGTGGAAGCCCATAGGGCTGTGAGACGTCAAGACTCCCACATTTTCTACACGATCACCTCGCAGATGGCAGCGAGGCTGTCAGGCTTATGTGCCAGCCGCCGTTTAACCCAGGAAGATTCCTGGTACTCATTTCTGGTGAAGCCGAGTTGGCGCCAGGGCTGGAAGGATAGGTCAATTAAAAAATCCAATGACCTCATCGGGACTCGAACCCACAACCTTCTAGACTGTAGCATAGTGCCTCAACCAACTACACTACTGTGTGCCCCATTCAGTAGTACCCAGTTTTAACTTCAAATGGAAGCCGGCTATCTCAGATGATGTTTCTCATGGATCTTCTTTCTCTTCCAGGTAAATACTGTAGCATGTACAACCGTTGCTATGCAGTAGGTGAATAAACAATGGTATTATACAACATCTTTCTAGGCAATGGACCTATAAACACACCTCTACAATAATAGAACTAATGTTGGCAAAGGTGTTTTCTGCTCAGTCCGTGCAAAGTTGTCGTAAAGAAGAGGACTGGTGCAACCACTTAAACTAAGCTCTGCAAGGAAGGATGAGAACAGACAGCGCTACAGTCAGTTGAGAATTGAAAGTCCAACTGTGAAAAGGAGACTTTATGTGTGCTGTAGTTAACAGTGAGATTGTTTAATTACTGTGTTAAAATCCATTGCCAGGATATGATTAGTGAAGAGTGAGAAGACTTAGTGTGTGCTAGTGATTTTTAAAGTGTGGAAATCTGCAATAGCAGTGTAATTACTTGTAGTTCTGAGTAGTGTGTAAGTGGTCAATAAATCCACTCACCAATCCATACCCCATCTATAGTCACATCCCTAAAATTGTGACAACACCCTAAAAACAATGCTTCTCCCAGCCTTTCTACTTTAACTGTTTTTTTTTCTTTTCATCTCATTCAACATTATATTTCCCTACAACACAAGTTCTGAACTGAATACATTATATTTTATCCATCTACTATTGTACCTCCAGAAATGCAGATCCAATCCTGGGCAAGTATCTCCACAGCTCAGACAAGGAGCCCCTGCTCCAATTTCATGGGCCAAACGATGTGGCTGCAGAAATATAGAAATAAGTATTTACAACTGCGGCAAAACATTTACCGTATATGCCAAAGGATTCCATCTTTCCTGGTACACATTTTAAGATTTCCAAAGAATGAAGAGATCACCAAACACAGAATTTCAATACGATGAGATTTTCCTCTCTTAATACATCAAAGAAATCCCCAAGAGAGTATATTCTAATCAGAAACCTAAAAAGATTTCAGTTTCTTTAGTTCAGTTGTAGCTTCTTGTTCCTCATGTTCACAATGTTTCCAAAGTGCCTGGTCCATAAGAACTTCTCACATGCTGTGTGCCCAACAGAATGGATCAACACTTGTGTACAATCCTAAACAGCTCATATCATGAAACTGTTTATGAAACTACATATCAATTACATTTTCTCAGGTTATCAACTGACTGCATCAATACACACTAAAACAATATTTATGCGTAAGAGACTCCTTTGTCTCTGTCAACTGGGAATCGATATCAATAAAGCTCACTGTACTGAAAGAACGTTCAGTTTATTATGGAGAATGTATTAGCCTCTACTTCTAGATGATATCAAAGTGATTCAACTGCGTTCTGTGCATATATTGTGTATACAAATTACATAAGAAATGTAATTTTATCTTATATGGCATGTTACATGATAGATCATAAAACTTAGGGTTGGTATGAACTCACTGAAAATGTAAAATCTAAAAGTCTATGGCAATGGCATATTAATACAATTATTGTGTTCAACATATAATTTCTTATAATTATTTCCTCAGTATCTCTTCATATCTTCTGAAAACACATGTAGCAAACTTTCTGAATTCCCCTTCCCCCAGTAATATAACCCTGAATTTTCACATGTATCTTAAATAGTTTAGGTGACAACAAGGCAGCTTTACTTGCCTGGGCTCCAGAAATATTTCCATGACATCCAGACTAGCTCTGGGAACCACCCAGCCTGCTATACAATGGGTACCATGGGTTGTTTCCCTGGGTGGAAAGTGGCAGGGGCAAAGATGACAACTCATGTCCATCTAATGCCTTGGTTAAGAATGGTGGAGCTATACTTCCACTCCCCCATACATCTCAATAGTGTGGTGATTAATTAAGCACAGGGATATCTTTACCTTTTATCACTTTAAGTTAGGTTTGGGTATGTTATTACAGTTAAGCTCAGCTAATATGCATGTTTACAATCTTGCAATTTATTCCTTCCTCCCTTTTCCTTTTTGTATGCAAATTCTCAACACAAAATTCAACGGTCAGAATACAAAAGATGCCAAACAAATACTTCAACTTTCCTTGCTGTCAGTGATTCCTGAACCTAATGTAACCAAATTAACCTTAACAGGGGGCATTGATCATATTTTCTACCCCTTCATCCAGACTTCACGACAAGTATTGGTGAACAAGTTATGAACCAAATGAAAGAACTTGTGTAATCTGACAACATACATGTATTAGAACTAATGAAAAATTTAAAAAAACTTACGGGAATGGTGATTCTTAATATCTATATCACAAACTGTACTTAAAAGAGTTCCATCATCTGGAATATAACTCCGTGCAGTCTGCCGAAAGTTAACCGACGTTTCGGAGGAGTACGACACCTCCATCTTCAGGGGCCAAGAATAAGCTGAGCAAGAATCCTACGTGAAAACACAATAAATACTATAAATTGTACTCACTCTCTTTTTCTTATTTTCCAACAGTAACATCCATTCTGGAGTCTTCCCTGTTTCCTCAGAAGTGCTCATTTCTTATACCATGCACGAGAAAGAATATAACTTTAAGCAGTAAAAAAAAATCTGTCGTCATATATAATGGTGCTAACTTAAACCGTCATCTGTACACGATGCAACAATATACTACAACCACACCTCCTTCAAGCAGTTCAAGCACTTCATGGGCGTAGTTCGGACATTCACCACAGATTCTAATCTTTTTCAACATTTGCATGACCTGCATCACGGGGATCACGGAGATCACGGATCACGGGTAACAAAGTGGTATTGTCGATCTGCAAGTATACACGTGCACATTTGTTTATGGCGGTGTGTCTATGCTACAACTGTAACGAATAGGATGGTATTATGGTTTCTCACAGCGGTGGTTATGAAGAATTCTTTCTTCTGGGATATAATGCTGTGTAGTCCATTTTCGACCCTAAAGATAGAAGCGACACGATCCTACAAAACGTCGGTTGATTTTCAAGGGACTACGTGTACATGGCGTTAGAGGCGACGAAAAGGGAAGTCTTAAATCTGAGACAGTAAAATATGGTCTCGAGTCCCAAGGGACTCAGGCCCGAGAAAGACTGCACTGGCAAGGGCCAGCAGCATATACAAAAGGTAGACCCGTCCTCGCGTGAGAGAGGACGCCCCACAAAAACAAGACCGTAAATGCCAAACAGTAATAAATATCTGGTCATGAGCCCCAGACGGGACTCGACACCAAGACTGACTGACTGACCGTCAGTCGCAATGTGACTTTGACTTTGATTTTGCAGGCCAACTGCTCCCGTGTGGAGCCGAGTTGGAATACCTCCACCATGACCCTCTGAGTGGTAGGAGGCGACGAAAAGGGAAGTCTCAAATTTGAGACAGTAATATATGGTTTCGAGTACCAAGGGACTCGGACTCGAGAAAGACTGCGCTGGCAAGGACCAACAGCATATACCCGTCCTCTCGTTAGAGAGGGCGCCCATAAAAAAACGAAACAAAAAAAAGACTAAACCGTAACTGTGAAACAGTAATAAAGATCTGGTCGAAAGACCCAAATGGGTGCTTTATGCCAAGACAGACTGGCCGACTGACCGTCGGTCGTAAAATGAGACTCAGGCTCAAGGCCAACTGATTCCAAATGAATGCCTTAGGCATCTTCCAAGATCATTGGTACATCTGACACGTTTATTTAATCACTGCCTTCGGCTGTCCAATTTTCCAAAGCTTTGGAAGGAAGCATATTTATGAGTATAACATTACTGAAAACCGGTAAGGACTCAAAATTTAAGCCCGATTAGCCTCTTGTCTACAACAGGCAAGCTATTCGAAAAAGTTATTCTGAAAATTGTCCAAAGTCACATTGAAGAAAAAGGCTTGGTTAATGCAAGCCAGTTTGGTTTCCGTGCCCGTCATAGCACTACACTTCAATGTATGAGGCTTGCGGAACACGTAACCTTAAATTTCAACAATAACATGTCTACAGCTGCTGTATTCTTGGATACTGAAAAAACCTTGATACAACATGGCACATTGGCTTAGTTAGTTAGTTAGTTAGTTATTTAGTCAGGGTGGGTTTCCCCATGCACCGCGACCAGTTTGATCTATTGTGCTTCCCTCTATGATATTCTACAAGTCTCTTTACCCTACCGATAAATGGTGCGTACCATCAGTCCCGCCGAGCAAGCGAGTTCGGCCACTTGCTTAGCGGTGTCTATAATGCTTCCCCCATCTATCAGAGGCCTTAGAGGCTATTGTTGGGCGGGAAACGCCCTGTAATTTGGCTCAATGATCCCCTTTGAGGATATGAGGTTCTTTTACGTGCCGTAAAGTTACGACACGGGACACAGCTTAAAGTCCCTCCCGGAGGACTTGTTCCCTGAATTTTTCCGCCCTTAAAAATTCGACGACCTCCGCCGGGTATTTGAACCCGCGTACCACGAGTCATGAGGTGGGAACGTTACCTCTAGACTACGGAGGCCGCTTGGCACATTGGCTTGCTATAGAAATTATCCACATTACAATTTTCGATAAGTCTAATCAAGCTTACTATCTCTTTCCTTTCTTAGATAAAAGTCAGAGTTTCAGTAGAAGGTGAAATGTCTACGCCAAGGGATATACAAGTAGGGGTGCCACAAGGTTCTGTNACACACACACACACACACACACACACACACACACACTGTACAGTCTATATATAAACGATACGCCCCAAGTACCTGGTGTCTATCTTAGGTCTCTTTGCTGACGACGCCTCTATACATGACACAGACCACAAAGAGGGTTATGCTCTCAGGAAGCTGCAGGGAGGTCTCAGTGCTACTGGAACGTGGTGTGGGCATTGGAACATAAGAATCAATGAAATTAAAACTCAAGAAATATACTTTTCTCATAGACTTAGGCACCCTGAGACTTATCTTATATTGAAAGGGCACAATATTCCCTTTGTCGATCATGTAAAATACCTGGTTGTAATCTTCGATAAGATGATTACGTGGAGGCTTCACATAGAAATGATTGAAGCCAAGGCCTTCAGAACATTTATTAGAATCTACTCCCTATTCTAAAGTGAGCGTTTAAACGCAAACATTAAACTAACCCTCTATAAGGCACTGATCAGATCAGTAATGACTTACGCTTGTCCCGCCTGGGAATTAGTGGCTGACACCTACCTCCTAAAAGTGCAGCGCATGCATAACAAAGTTTTGTGCACCATTGGAAATTTTCTAAGGTGCACACCGGTCTGGTACTTGCACATGGCTTTCAACTTTCCGTATGTATACGATTATATAAGAAAATTATGCAAGCGACAAGCAGAAGTCACACAAAATCATGAAAATGAACATGTTCGCGGCATAGGACAAGGTGAAGACAGACAGAGAAAATATAGGAGGCTTTAACTTGGCAGTGGACAAGCTTACGACCGTTCAAATGACTAATTTGTTGTTGTAGCACAAGATATGTTAATTAGGCATGATCTGCTCTGTAAAACCTGTACTGACAGAGGACTTGTGTGTAGCGCAAAAGGAAGAATTTTCAATAACCTGTTATATGTGCGAAATATACACTTGATGAAAGGCCGAGTGTATAAGAAAAAAAGCAGTTCTCTCGTCAGAGAGAATGCTACATAAGGACTATCACCACAACGGTTCAGTTGGAAAAATAATCTCTGGTCGTGTGTCTCTAGGTGCCTGGCTCCAAGACGAAATGATTGGCGGTAAACCGCCAGTCGTGAAGTAACTCTGACTTTGACTTTGAATTTAATTGATGTTCCCGGAGTCTGGGTGTATAACCCGGCCACCATGTTCTTGGGGGATATAAATGCAGGGGCCTAGTCCTCCAGGTTGGTGGGATCTCGACTGTGAGGCAGTAAAATATGGTTATGTGTCCCGCGGAACTCGGATCAGAAAATGACTGCGCTGGCGAGAACCAGCGGCAATAGTAAACTACAGACCCATCCTCCCATCAGAGAGGATGTTCCATAAGGCTTATAACCTCAAGTGTTCAGATATAAAATACAAAATTAGTGGTCATGGGTCTCAAGGATCTTGTCGCCAAGACGAACTGATTGGAGGTTGGCAGATAATGGGGGAATCAGGAGGGTTCAGTTGAGAGTTGAAAGTCAGGCTGTGAAGAGAAGACTTTATATGTGCTGCAGTACATTGATATTTGGAATGTGTGATTCAGTGAGATTGTGTTAAAACTCGTTACCAGGAAACGACTAGTGGTGAGTGTAACCAGTGCCTGTAACAGTGAATTGCAAAGTGTGTAAATCATCGATAGCGCTCTGATTACTGATGTCTGATACCGAAGCGTGAGTGTACTCCTATGACCTCCTATGACATTGTGTTCACTCCTGTTCTGCATCAGAAGGAGGTGGCAGCAAACCTCATGTGGCATGTGTCTTACATTACTGAAACGCGAATTCCTTCTACTTTGGTGAGTCACTGGCTCAAGATTGATGTACATTACAATTTGAAGTTCTTAGTAGTGAGTACTAAACTTACGGCCTTTTGTGATGTGACACTGTATGGTTTAGTAGCTGTGTACCGACAGATTGCAAGGACTTGCCGCCTCCATCTTGATGATAGAAGATGGAGGCAGCGGGTTCCTCCAAAAAATTGGCATCTATCTATCAAAACTCATGACATCATATTCCAAAAGACTATCATCTGGATACATATGAAGCTTGTTATGCTGTATAGCGGAAAGCAGTACAGCCAGTCCCCGCCTATTGAACAGATTATTTCCCTCTAGTATGATGTAATGCAAGGGCAGGCAAGAAATAAAATATACAGAGGCAGAAAACAAGGAAATAGATAAAGGAATGGAGGTCATAACTAATTACCGCCAAACAGACTCGGAGATGAAGAATAGGAATACTTTACCAGCAGAGAGAACAAGCAAGAAGCGTGAAAAATAGCAATGTGATATGCGTGACCATTTTTTTTTTGTTAATTACATTTGTATGTTTCTTTTTTGGTAACACAATTGATTACTCTTCGTTTTCAAGAATTTTCTGGAATGACGTATGTGAAACTCTTCTATAATTTCGCATATTGCGACTTGAAATCCGAATCCGTATAGCTTATCCAGACAAAAACATTAATTGTTAGGCAACGGCTCGGCGAACATGTTTCCTAGGAAACGACTACGCTTACAACAATAGACAAAATGCTGGAGGTCGTGTTTTCTATGCTGTCCGTTCCGAAGTTATACATGCACTGTACTTCAGTGGTTAGCATCCAGCCGCCAGCCAGCGAGGACAGCAACAGCAAAAGGAATCTCTACTGTTAGAACGTTATAACGTGAAAATATTGACAATTATCATTCTGCTCTGTCACTATGAATTACGCTCTTATATGCATACTAGTTGTGTTGGGGTGTCTGCAGCAACGAACTGCTGAATCACGCCATATCGCCCATCACAGTCGAGAAGGAAACATGTAAGGATATAAGTTTAAGCTTAAGCATTCCATTCTTCTTGGATAAACTCTCTAAATTATTTCTTATTCATGACTGTTTTATGCATAATAAATAATACGAGTACATATAATTTATTAGCTTATGGAATGCATCCAGTGGCCTATTATAATTTTTCTGAAATTTTAATTATATCATATATTCTTCTTAGGCACGTGAGTATTAAGTACAGTAGAATGCCGATTAACCGAATTAATCAGTGACAAATGTGGTTAGGATACTCGAAAATTCAGGTAATCGGATTAAATTCTTTTCAATAAAAAACACTATAACACCACTGTTATAATAGACTGTATTATTTATTACTTACTCATGGAGCTGAGGCCTTCCTTAGGAGAAGCCAAATCTGCAGTTACTCAAGAATTTCCCAGCATTTTATGGAACCCGAAGGTTCATTACCGTGTTCAAAAGAGCCCTCTACTTGTCCCTATCCTGAGCCAGCTCAATTCAATCCATAACATCCCACCCTATCTCTCTAAGGTCTATTTTAATATTGTCCACCCACCTACGTCTTGGTCTTCACAGTGGTCTCCTTACTTCTGGCTTTCCCACCAATATCCTACATGCATTCCTCTTCCCCTTTTCGTGCTACATGCTCTGCCCACCTCATCCTCCTTGACTTGATCATTCTAATTATACTGTATTATTATAATCAGGGCCCGAATTTTGATGACATGTCATCTTTTTTTCCTTGTATCCTATGCGATGCTCTTAAATATATAAATCTCTGATATGAGCTGCTGGTTACAGAAATGTAAATTTTGTACGTAATTTTTTTATCATTTTTAGGTTTAAGGTAATTTTTTATTTTGAGGATAATTTTTTGTTCAATTTTTGGACTTTTAAGGGTATTTCTTGTCATTTTTGGCCATTTTAGGGAATTATTTTTATATGTTTTCTGAAATGTGAATAACATGGAAGCGAAGTGTTCTTTCTTTCTCATTTATGTCGTTTTTCTGGATTTTCGGTCATTTTATAGGTCATTTTTTGAATATTTTCAGTTCGTCAAAATCCGGGCTCTGCATTTTACATTTTTATTGTCATATTTTAGGTCAGTTTTCTGGATTTTTTCCGTTATTTTATAGGTCATTTTTTAAAATATTTTCAGGTCATCAAAATCCGGGCCCTGATTATAATAAAAAACGAAAACGTTAAAAAAGGCGAGACATGAAAAATTAATAAATTTAATTACAAATTAACATTTTCAAACACTTTATTTGTAAAAGTCCAACAATTATGCTTCTTTAGCAGACACAGTCCTTGGTTGCGAAAATTTGGTTAATTGGCAATTCAGATAAGTTGGATTCGGACAATCGACATTCTACTGTATTATAAATATGCTCGCTTTAGAGGTATCCTTTACAGAACTAACGATTCAGATCAGCCTACTGGGATAAAATCATGTCTCATTATTTCATATTGTGTGTCCAGTCGTCTGAAAATCAAATTTCTGTAGCGTCGCTCTTGAATATCTGCCCTGAAAGAAGGAAGAGTTGAACTAGACGAGACGTGTATTGCTAGGTAATGAATACGAGTGCAACAATAGAGGAACTGTTGAAAACGGTGTTTTCTATGCGGTCCACGCCCTTATTTGGTTTCTGTGTGAGTGCAAGTTAATCGGTGCTGCATGACGGTGCAAAAAAATGTGACGAGGGCCAGCAGCAAATTTCTGCTGCTGCAGGACAGTCCTCTTGGAGTCGGAGAACAGCAGATCTGAGTGCGGGTAAACTCTTGCTGAATTTCGGTGCAATAAATATGATGCATTCCCAGAAAGGTCAACCCCTCCACTCCTCTTAAAAGAGGCCTCATTTGAAACACACAAGTGGTCTTGGAACGAACAAAAGTGTGGTATGGGTCCATACGGGGCTCGAAAGCAAGAATGACTGTGCAGTCCTCTATTAAGACCATAAATGGCCGGGTAGCACCAGTCAAAATAAGACGGAAGCCACGATAATAATTCAGTCAGATTTATTTCACGACTGGTTGTTTATAGCCAGTCAATTGGCGACAAGTCCCTTGAGAATCACGACCAGAGATTTTTTCAACTGAACTCTTGCGGTAATAGTCCTCTTGCAAGAGCCTCTTTGACGAGAAGATGGGTTTGTCTCTTATGAATTTGGTCTTTCATCAAATATACATTTCGCACATATAGCATGTTATTGAAAATTCTTTCTTTTGCACTATACACAAGTCCTCTGTCAGTAGAGGTTTAAAGAGCAGATCATGCCTATTTTACATAATGATAAAAACCGGCCAACTCAGAAGCGTTATGTAATTTCGGAAGAGACCGCATAGAAAACATTATTTCCAAGAGTTCCTCTGTTTTGGCTGCATACCCATTGCCGTTGGAGCGTGTTCACCGAACCCATTCCTCAGCACTGTACGTCTCCTCTGCCTCCACTATTCCGGCGTTCAGGCGTCATGTCACACGATGTTTTCACTGTACGTATGAAAGGCTTTGTGCTGCAATGATTATTTCCGTATTCCTCATCGATTATTTCACAGTTGAAGGAGACTGTTGAAAAGAAAAGGGATTTTTATGAAATATAAATTGTACTGAACTGAGACCTTGATATTATTACAAAAATGGGCAGTAACAATGGTATGCTATAGGAATGCTATATCTGTCCCATAATAAAGTGAGCTGCAGCCGTGTACTGCACTGAAAACTCTAATGTTTCATATAACCAAATCCACACAAATTTGAGGAAGTTGGAGGCAGTAGCTTGGCTAAATATTTCAGTGGCATTACAAAGAGTGATGACTGGTGAAATGATTACTGCGTCTTTTGAATGGCAATTTAAGCCCTTGTTAAAGAGCGTTCTATTTATCTGTCCTATCCCCTCCTTTCCATTACAGTTCTATGAGCACGCGAATTCTAAAATATTAGATAGTATTCAGTAAAACTCGTTACATATTGATGAAAAAGGGAAGAAATAAGCAAAGGGAGGAAATTAGCATGTGACAGTAGCGAGAAAATATTGTAACGTGGATGGCCAGAGCGTTGCTGGGTAAAGGACCGGTAAACATATGTGATACAAGCTGGCAACAGTAAAACAACGAGGTTATACAACCCTCTTGTAGGCAACGGTTCAGTAAACAGACTACCACACAGGAGCAATGACGTCACACCGCAACAGTAGTAGCTATCATATAACTGGCTTTCTATGGAGTCCGTGCCGCGACCGTTCCTATGCAATCACTCGGTTCATTTTCATTTCATTTCATTTATTCACCTTCCATAAATCCTGTCGAGAATGCGTTCTCATGCAGATGTGGAGATCGTCCTAGTTACAGTCACAACTAAGAATTACAGTTGTCATCCAATAGCATACACATTTGTATAAAATACTGATAACATATACAATATAATAAATAAGTTAATTTTAGTAGTAAAAGTAATGACAAACCTTATACAATTTGTACAGTTTTATAGAAGCCTATTAATTAAAAATAGTAAAAATTAAAATTGATAGTTAAAACACAATGTCATTAATGAGTTTTGTATAACATACATTAATAGTATAATAAATTGAAATAAAGACTAGTATACAGTAACATAAAGGTTGTGTATGTCTAAAATAAGCAATTAAAAACCAGAACACAGACTGACAATCTTGTCTTCATTTAATTGTAAAGCAAGATGGCTACTCACATCCTAAAAAGATTTTATAACCAAAATATTCCTGTAAAGAATAAAAGGAATGTAATTGTAAAAATTCTTTCAATTGTACCTCAGTGTCATTCAATATATCCTTAATATGTTGTGGTAGATTATTATAGACCTTTGTTCCTAAACAGTAAACTCCCTTTTGGTATTTACTCAAATTTACAAGAGGCTGATGGAGATTATTTTGCTGTCTGGTATTTATTCTATGAATCTCTGCATTTACTATGAATTTGTTTCCGTTTTTTATCACAAAGAGCATAAGAGATAGTATGTACTGAGATGCCAGAGGTAAGATTTCTAATTCTCTAAATAAGTTCCTGCA